CCTGATGCCACCGCGCTACAAAGTCCACTAGCCCTTCTTTTACCTTAGTTTTGGTGCCATTCTCCTCCAAACTATAGATTCCATTCCACACTGTCTCCATTTCGTCATGATATTCGTCGTCAATAAGAGGTCCATACATGTAAGCATGCGCATGTAGCTGGTTCGTAGCTCCATTGGCACCATTATGGAGCAAACCAACAATAATGACCCCCAGTGATTCTCGTTCAAATGCACTGGGTAAACGATGAAATCGAAGACTTTCAACGAGTTTCTCGGGGTTGCCGGCCACCCAAGCGACCACGACAATGACGATAGCACGTATCACTTACCCACTGAAGTTGCAATAGTTTCCAAGCAGAATTCGATTGGGCTGTCATTAAGCCACCCACGACATAACCCACCCACAACGTTCTCAAAGCTGATCATTGCTTTCCGTGAGAGCGTTCTAAATTCGGTGAGCAGACGACTAGAGGTGAACTTGGAAATAACTTCGTTCGCGAGCGCCTGGTGACGAGAACAGATAGCATCGACTGATATGCCTGCCGTCTTCGTCTCATTCGCGAACAAGTCCACATCCGATTCAACACATCGCCAGTTTTGCTCCAGCCACTTGCGATCTTCCAGCCATGCCCTCCCCTTGGCCTTAACGGCGTAGAATCCTGTGAGTGCGTGCACAAATTGGCTAAAAGCATAATTATGTTAAAGCAACCATACTAAAAACAACCCCATTACAGCAACCATAATGTTAAAGCAACCTTACCTGCTAAATTTCCACAGTTTCGGATCAATCGAAGCGACAATATCGAGTAGGACGCCTTGATTCTTGACACGCTCATCCAGCTCAGGGGGTTGATGCTGTGTATCTCTGGCTTCGCTTATCGCAGCCTGCATTGAACGGGTGAGGTCTGCCGGAATTACAAATGGGTGCATGTAGTCCTTCGTTCGTCGTGCTTCCCACTCTACGGGTCTTACTGTTTCACTGGACCAGCTTCTAGTTTGGGCGCGTAATGCCTCTAATATCAAGTACGTGATGGAGTTACTGAACAAATACCCGGTCCAGCTGGAGAATTCTTACCTGAGGTCGCGCACAATTGTTTGTCAGGGTGTTTGTGAACAGCAAGGCGACGCGACGTCGGAGTAAGCTTAGTTTGTCTCAGTTGCTTGGGTGTTCATCTTGGCCGACCATTCCGTGATGGTTTTGGGACATTGACGATGTCGACCTGCCGTGCAGCTTCCTCAGTATGTGTACTGCTTGCCTTTGACACACCCTCGCGAACACATTCTACGATCGCTGTACTAGAAACTTGTTTTGAATACAGAGGTAGTTCGTGGTCGGATGTCAGTTGCGTTGGTGGAACTTCATCTTCTGCATCAAATGAATCCTGATTCTTTATATACCCGTCCGTAATAGAGATAGCAGATTCTATCGCTTCTAACTCGCACAGCGTCCATTAGATCATCAGGGTCCACATTCAAATCTTCACTATCACTGTTGCCGTGGGTATGGTCACTTTCAGATGCTGTACGGTCCGTTGAGGTCTCCTTACGCAGGCCAATTGCCACAGTCTCCTTCCATGATTTTAGCTGTTGGTAGAAATCAGCACTAGATAGATTCGAAAGATGTTCCAATAAAGGCTCCAACATTGCTTTTGCGTACACGTACTTTTCGGACGAAGATAGAACGATTTGGTTTGCACGTTCATGGCGACGAAGATGCACGTATGCAACTTGTTTCGGGTCCTTAGCCGATGTGGTAGCCATGCATTGGTCGCCGCCTTGCACTTCATTATCAGGAGCGTAAGACAACTTTATTTTCGGCGACTTTAACTTCGTCATTCGCACAATTTGCATCAACGAAGACGATGCTGGCACCAGCTCATCTTTCACTTGCGTTGCAGTATTCAAACCCTAGCGCCCGTGAACAGAAATTAATGGAAGCATTTCAAAGCGATGCCCGTCTCGTGCCAAGTGCATTAGGTGACGACAGGGCAAGCGGTGACTGCGGTAAAAAAGACAGGTGCATGTCCAATCAACATCATGACACTTGTAGATTTTGCTCTGGCAATGCACCTTCCAACACAAGACGCTTATTGGATCTCTTTCACAATCTGCTTTTTCATGAGAATAAACCATTCCCACTCGTATTTCACCTTCGCAAATATTGCTGGAGACAACCTAGCAGCAACTGCTCTCAAAAATCTTGGTATAGTCCTGGGAACACGAGTCGTTAAGGACTGTTGCGTGATAGAAAACACAATCTGCTGAGTCACAGTCATTTGATGCTGCAACAGACCAGCAATCGTGTTGTCGATGCGAGTTTTGTGCCCCAATAACATTTTCACTTGATTCCAATTGGACTCAATTCTGTTGGTGGTGGTATTTCCAGCAGTGCCAAACCCACCACGAACAAAATTTGCCCACATGTCACGGCACGAATTCCAATTTTTGTCGAAGTACGCAAATATTGACGGCCTTTTGGTTCTCCTGCAGTACTGCCGCAAATCCTCATAGCAGTCGTCGTAACCAGTTTTGGAAGAGCTAGTGGATTCCCATTTCAGAAGGTTAACATAGCGGTTAGCGGATGTAATATAGAACCTTACGTACCAGTAGAGCAGGTTTGTCATCATGTTCAGCCGCTCTTTACGCTGAGAAACATTCAGGTGATACACAGAGCGTTTCATCACCTTCTTCCCGTAAGCAATCGCGTGAAATTGACACAATAATATCTGCGCACTTGGAAAGCACTCCTTCAATACACGCCACTCCACGAAATCCGTATCAATCACCACGGATTGTACTTGCTGCCAGCAGGGATTCTTCTCTTTGAAATACTCCAGTATTGTAGAAATCGTCACTGCTTGCTGGTTAAGACACATAAAGTTGACAACGGGGAAGCCTCTGCCTGTAGCGGTAGTGACGACAAGACTCCCTGTGCAGAAAAACAAATTAAAGTTAATCAAGGATTGCTTTATGGTGAATATGGTTGCTATAAAGTGGTATGGTTGCCTGAAAAACAAAGTAGTAGTAATTGCGAGCGTACCCAAGTGGTAGCCGGCATTATTTGTTCCATGCGTGAAGTCCATCACCAGCGACTCTTCCCATTGCTTGAACATCATTTTCTGCACCTTTGTTTGCATCACAACGCCGCACGTCACGTTCATCTGATCTTGAATCACCAGTACGTCACTACCGTCAAGTTGGCGAAGCGCATGAAGCATATCCTTCATCCGCCCTTCAGCGGATTCCTGTCCCATGATGCTACGGATGAGATTTCGCGTCTGCTGAGGCGTTACCATGCAGCCTACGCCAACAATCGATCAGACATCGTTAATGGGTAAATAAATAAAATCGAAACTATACAATACGCACCGATTCGTTCGTTGAGAAAGTTGGCTATGTGTTTTGAGGACACACGAGCGTCGGCTAGAGTTTTCACATCTTCGCGATCTTGTTCATCAAGCGGCAACGTTTTGGTAGTTACATACGACAGCGCTCCAGTACGCGTTGTCAAATGAGAATGGGTATGTACCTGTTTGAAGACCAGCAATAAATTAGTATAGCGAAAACACACAATTGAAGTCGCTTTGCCGTACCTCATTTCTGATAATGATACGATACACACCGGCTTCTGTTACCGTTGGTGTAAACCGCGCCTTGCAACCGATGTATCGTGATTTGCGATTGCAGTGACCTTTTGAGCGCGATTCTTGTGCTACGCCATGGGTACACCGATACACCCTGTGCGTCCACTCAAACTCCGTTGGCATCTGCTCGACATGCGAGCTACAGCGTAGTACAGAAAACATTACAAAGCTACAAAGAAAAATATAGAAAAACCGCAAATACTATCAATTAGTGCATACCTATTATACGCCACAGTCGTTTCAGAGCTGCGCACACGAAAGTTGAGATGATTTTTCCTCTTGTATTCACTGAAAACGTTGTTAAATTCTCCCCAGCTCGAAATCTCCACAGACGGAAAAGGAACCACGACGTTCACAGCTTTATCACAACTGACCACCATCCCCTCAAGCTCCTCGACATGCTTGCTTGTGCGTTTCCGAGGCGTGTATTCCACGTGCTCAGTTATCTTTGCTCCACCAGTGTCATCGACGATATCACCGCACAGGGAATCACACGACTCTCCCCCCTTGTGTTTCTTCTGCAAGGGCAACACCTCGTGCGGCGAAAAGCGCCGTTTCCTGACACTCTCAATGTTTTTTTCGGAAACTAACAAGCCAAGTTCATGTTAGCCACAGACATACGACAACCTTAACATAAAGCGACTTTAGCATAATGTACCAGCTGGATGCTTTCGCAGTTTGGCAAGTCTGCATTTTTCTTGTTGCTTCTCTCTCTCTGTGTTTGTCATGGCAGTCATCGAGCGTCTAGAGTTAATATAATACAGCAGGGAGTATTTCGTAAGAGATATTAACTGGATCAGGATCGTCAAGATTCCCCTCTTCGTCTTCGTCGTCGCTTCTTTCCAGAACGAAGTCTTCATCGCTGTCGTTGTCCTTCTCGATGCCAAGTGTGGCAAAAATGTTGTTCAGCTCGCCCTTACTCTTGCGCCGCAAGTTTCGTTCTAGTACGTGTAGCAATTGTCTTAGTCATACGATATAAAACCCAGTCAACGTCGCCATACTCAAGTGAGAGACCAGCTTACCAAGCATGTGGCCTCCTTTTGTTGGATCTTCCCCCCCCCCCCGCTCGATCGATGCACAGGTTCTGTAACCCGTAGATCCTACCCCGCTGGACGTGAATTTTCGGAAATGAACGGCTTTGATTTGCCGAACTTAACTATATCGTACGTAATCGAATACGAACTTATAGATCGTATTTAAAAAGGTATGTACAGTAGTACAAAGTAAATAAAACAAGTTTTGAAATTTGTAGATTTATTTTACCGTCGTAATTTTTGAAATTGGCTATAGCGACCTTTAGTCCGCAAAATAAAAAGAAACGCACGCTTGAAGTGATGTACTGTTTCACGGTTGGCAAAAATAGCACAAGTGCAACAATTGAGCTGCTCCTTGCATCGCGATGCCTCCGCCTCGGCTAGTCGAGCTCTCGGTCTCGGGCCCCCTCCTTTTCCCTCGCTATGTGGACGCCGACAATCTCCACATGGAGGACGAAGCCTCCGACCGGATGGTCCACAACCAGTCCGTACTGCGGGTAGCGGACCTCCTTGGAGCTCCCGTGTCGTCTCTAACACCCAGGAAACAATGTGATACCGGTAGTCCACGCACACCGGCGTTTACCCCCCCTTTGGTACCTGAAAGTCCCTCGCTCTTCGATCACCTCAGTCCATTCATCAAGAGGAAGCGAGCGGCGTCTTCACGCGTGAGCTCAATGAGTCCGTTAAATGTCGTCTTAAGAACACCTTCGCCTGTTGGTGAGCTGCCTACCGACTCGGTCATGTCGTTTGTGTCCTCAATGTCACCACCGTCTGGAATTACGGGCATCCGATCACCTAGACGAGTGATTCTGGGTCAGTCCGATGCGCAAAAGATCACAAAGTGGCTACAATCACTTCCGCACGAAGCTGCAAACTTCACGTCGTACGCACTCTACTGCGATATGCTCTTCCGAGAGAGCCGCGTGCTGACACAGGGCAAACCTGTTCCAAACCGACTCCAGACAGCCATCGCTTTCCACTGTCTGTGCAAGGCCGCCAATGTATTTGCGAGGCACGAAGGTATTTTAATTCGCATTTGCAAGTACGTTATCCTCGTTCATCTTTACTTTGTAAACAATTGAGGTAAGCGAACATGTTGTGACTGCGCAGCGACTTGGGAGCAGCGATTTACATGAATCACGACCCGTCATTGATTCGCAGCGGAGAAATAGATGCACTCGAGTTCTTCGCGCGACTCACCACGTTCTATGAGCAGCACACTGTTCTCCATCAGCGAAAGCAAGGTCTCCAGCAAGGTTGAACATCTGAACTGCCAGCCTAGGACTAGAATACTGATATAAGTTATATTTTTGTAGAGATGTTAAGACAGCAAGCCGTGCACCAGCAGCGTCTGGGCGAAGAGCGGGCCCGAAACGAACAGCTAAAGCAATTGCATAATCAGCTTCAAGTGAATAAGTTGGACACTATCAGCACGAAGAAAACGCACGCGAAGGACTTGAATGGTAAGTTGCAAAATGTGCTTTTAAACTTTCAATACGTAAACGACCAGGAGAAGGAGAGAATCGTGCTCGGCGCAGTGGAGGCTCTGCAAGCGCAAGTATCGGCCGTAGCAGCTGTAGCAATAGTGGACCAGATGGACCCAGTTGAGAAAGATAAACTTATGACCAACTTACTCCAAGACAAGATGGAGGGAATCACACAGTATGTAATTCTCTGTCATCTGCTGGCTCTTGTACTCCTCTAACGACACTCTTAACTTGCAGGCAAATTGAAGAGCAGGTTCTTCTCAAGTCTAACGCACAGCAAAACATGATCGTCGAGCGATCTGCAGCACGGATGACACGCTTTCAAGCGCTCATGCTGGACGTCGTCAAGAACCCCAATAGTGGTGATGCACGTAAAGAAAGTTCTAGCGCTGAAGTTGATGACTGTTTGTGTGAACACGACCGTAAAGTGCTCGAAGCTGTCGGGGATGTAGTCGACGAGTTGGAGCGCGAGAAGAAAAAGTCGACGACTTTGAAGCAGAGACTTGAAGAGGCTGAGAAACTTGCAAACGACCTGCGATTGAAGAATAATTCGTTAGTGAACGAGGCCGAGGAACGCGTAAGGAATTGTGAGCAGCAGCTCCAGAAAATGCGAGACCAGATAGCAAAGGCACAGAGCTTGACCGATGACAAATGTTTTCAGACGGATGAAGATTTTGAGGAGCTCCGAAGGCACAACGAGAGTGGAGCCAAACGCAGGCGACATCTGGTTGCAGCCGACAGCAACGATGAACTCATTCTGAAAAACCGGGCCAAGAACAAGTTCGGCTACGGCATCGCAAATATCATTGACCAAGCGAAGATTGCACCGTCCAAAGTGCGCAAGATCCTGCTGAAGCGAAAGCCTCTTACTCTTAATGAACTTCACAGCATCATTGTCGGGTACTACCAGGCGAAGATGTTCCAGGACGTGCAGGACGATTCGTCTGGTAAGCCGCGGACCAACCTGGCGCAGTTCATCATGGAAATGTACGTCCTGCACTACGGACTCAAAGACCTTGCGATCAGCCAACTCGTTTTCTTAGACGCTGCCATCCGCAAGAACGCTCGTGTACGTACTGTACTGCTTCATTACATCATGAAGCTGACTGCACGTACTACAGGAAAGCGCCCGAGTGCGAATTTTTGGGCTTCTAACGGGATCACTAGACCCCGAGTCTCATGCCTGCTCGGTCCAGGGTGTCGATTTCTTCCTACTGGTAGTCGTCATCATCTTCAATGGTATGTATCTTATGTTGGATCGAGCTGCATTCCAGATCTGATGGAGCTGTATTTGTCAGCTGGCTTATACAAGAAAGGTCGGAAACAAGCCGTCACCATCGCACAGAACCTCAAGACCTTCTTCGGAGACGGCATCTTTGTCAGTCCGAAGTCAGTGACTGTCAAACACGAGCTGGTATGCCAGGCAATCGACTTGGCATTCTCATTCACGCGGAATGAGATAGGAGGGCCCCTCAGTCAGCTTAAAGACGAGACTTACCAGAGATGCATCGCAAATGGTGGGGGGTTGGACATTGATTTGGTGCTAGAGAAAATCACGAATTACTGGTTCGTGCTGTACGAGCATCAGATTCAGGACATCCACAACTTGTTCACAATTGTCGATACGAATGGAGACGGAACGCTGGATTTTCAGGAATTCTGTGAGCTGGTGGCAGCTCTGGAGCCGGCAATGGACCGACGAGATGCCCTGGCACTTTACAACCGAGCTGCTGGAGAGGATAACGTCATCGATAAGGATGAGTTTGTACAGGTCATGCTCGCTCACCAACGTGGTGTCATTCTTGAAGAGTTTTATGGCGGAGTGTCCAGCAAGAAGATCCTCATGGGCATTGAACAGCGCAAGAGCACGCTGTTACCACTGGGTTCTTCACCATCGACAAGCCAAGAGAAGGAAGAAGAATCGTTTGACTTGCTAACTGCTGCTATGGCATCAGTCTCGATGACGTCAGAGTTGCTGGAAAATGATGATGAGGAGGACAAAAGTCCGGACGATAAGTCAGAGACTCAGCGCGTTCAGGAGAGTGTATCCTTTCAGGCGCTGACGAGGCTTTCTACGTGGGCTACCGAGGCTAAAAGAAAGCTGCGGCGAAGAATACCAAGAACGCTCGAATCGACCAAAGAAGTGGAGAAGGGCAATGACCAGAGAGTCCACTCCTGACAACTTCCGGGGAGATAGTATCTCAGATACGGCTCGGTTACTACGGCAAGCGTTACAACAGGTCAACCTCAGTGGACATTCTACAACAGAATAGACGTCTCATATCCTAGAAGATTATTCACAAATATTGCCAATTGCTCAAGCACAGACATGATAATTGGTAGTAGATTGGTTTTAGCCCCCGCAAATGGAGGGCTTGAAGTATTCAATTTTCGGTGACGAAATTGAACCTCCTCTCCACTGTCGTATACCTCCTATTCCTTCAAGGGTCGGGTAGTCCGCGGCTGTTCAGGGAGTACAGTCCTGTTTAGTGGCTGCAGGAACGGTAGATATGAACACTTGTAAGTTGTAATAGAAGTTGGTTTATTGGCTTGGCTTCCTCTTGAGTAGAAGGAGGGAAATATCAGACTGAGAACTAACTGGAAGAGAGGTCTAACACCTTCTCGACCATACATACTGTGACGGGGTCACACAGCACCTTGCGCTAGAGGAAGTTATCTTCCGAGAGTATACAAACTCTCAGTGAACGGCAGCTCACAGATCCCCTCTTTATTTAAAAGAGAGCGAAGTGACCTAAATAAGGTAGATTGTAAACTGAGTATATTTATAGGTAGGTTAAGTTTGGATTTAATACAAACTATAAGTCACCTATAGAAATGAAATGTCGTTGACCAATGGTTGGCTTTGAACGACCTTGGTACTTTGTACCAAATATCCCGGAGTATGACGTGTCATACTCCTGAAGTGTGAAGTGTCACACTTCATGTAACCAGGGTACACTTACCCCGTTACATCCTCCCCCAGTTAGGTTCGGTTTACCGACCAATCAGAATGAAGAGGTGTTCGTCACAAACTCTCATTCTCAAAGTCGAAAACCATCGACTTGGCCGCGCGAGCGCGGCGGAGGCTCACTTCACAGTTAGAGCCTCGAGCAGCAGTCTGTGCGCTCTTCTTCTAGGTCTCCACTTCGACCGTTTACCATGCCTCGTGGCACAGCAAAGAGCGGTGCCAAGACACGCTCCAAGGCTGCTGCCGGTAAGGCGCAAGCCAAGAGCACTAAGCCTCACGGCAAAGGCTCGACACTAAAGGAGGCTACTCAGGTGGCCTCCGAGGCGATCGGTTCCTCGGGTGACGCGGCTGTGTGCAAGCGAACAAGCAAGCGCCGCAGCCCGTCGCCCTCGGCCTCAGACAATCGTCCGAACCCTCGGTTCGTGGAACATGAGTTCGACTCTGGCAGTGAGGACGAAGCCGAGTCCGAGAGCACGCACGATGCTCCTGCGGGCTCTATGTGAGGGCACAGCCCAGTGCCCACTGAGCACAAGGACGACAGCGTGCAGTCGCTCGCAAGTGATCAAGGTGATCACAGTCCCAGGACGTCTGTGCGCTCTGAGAGTCCGGCCGTCAAGGCTAAGGGCACTCCCAAAGCTGGTGGCGATGAGGAAGAGAATCCTCGCAAACGTCTCTCGCTTGCCGAGGGTCTTGCGCGTGCTAAGGCCTCTAAAGCTGAAGGCGCCAAACCCTCAAAGAAGCGTACAGCCTCTAAGTCTCCACTCCGCGAGGAGAAGGAGACTCGGCACTCCCATCGGAGTATCTTCGACTCCTCGGATGAAAAGGGGGAGAAGGAGGAAGAAAAGGAGGAGGAGGGTGCTATCTCTGAGACCCGGGAGGTCACGAATGACCTCAACCAGCAGCAGGAGGATTTCCAAGCTGCCCAGCGTGTGCGTGGGGGTTCGGTGGTGGCACCCGTCAGCCAGGGAGCTGCCATCAACTCAAGAGGGTATTGGCCTCCCGAGGAGAGCTCTGGGGCGGACCTCTTCTTAGAGCTTCTCGTCGCTCCTCGTGGCCTTGTGGGCGGCCACAGTTCTAGGGGCATCTACGAACGTGCCCTTGTTCAGAAAGAACAGTTGTTCGTTGACAACTTGGAGGCTGCTCGATGTGTGCTTCTCGCGCCACACAGCATCCCCCTTAACGACTTCACGACTTGTCGTAAGAAGCCCGAGACCCGGGTGGTCTCTATCCTCTTTGGGGATACCCCGGGGTTATGCCCGAGAACTGCCCCACTTGGAGTTCTTGTGAGGACATGTTCTGGGCATGGGTGGAGTCTCTTAAGTACTCACCCACGGGGTTACGGGAACTCCCTGAAGATCAGCTGCTGTCCCGCATCCTGGACCAGCGTGATCTTCGTGTGAGGTTTGCCCACTTGGTCAGCCAGTGCATGCTGCCAAGGGACATCATGAAGCGCGCGGCTTCCAGCGCTCATCCCCCGTTCGGGCAAGAAGCCCCGGACTACTTATGAAGCTTCCGCCGCTTCTGTTCCCAGATTGCGACAGCCTTCGGGCAGTCAATCAGGAGCCGTTTAATCGGGTCCCACGAGTTCTCGGAGTGGACATAACCCCTCCACTTCACGTCGTCAACGCGTCCTCACGCTTGAGATTGCACTTGTGTGGTGAAGTGCTTTCTCAGAAATAAGAGAATGGGCCTGACGCGGGGTCACTATCCCGAATCAGTGACAATTTCAAGTGATTAGAGAGGATTTGGGTTGTTTGGCACGGGTGCAAGTTGCCTGTGGTGGATTAGCCATGACGAGCGGCACCCCGTATGGAATGACGATGGATCTGGTATGAGCGATGTACGAGAAGGCAAGATCCACCAAGACTTATCTCGGATCCACCCTTACCTGGATCCACTTAGACGGATATGGGATATACTATATAAGAGTGGATCGAGTGTGGATCCTATGAAGGAATGATGGTAGGTGCCACCTGAAGGTGGATCTAGTAGCCACGGTTAACAAGAAGTCAGGATCCACCGCGAGGTGCCCCGGATCCTATACTTCCGAGTTCGGATCCAAGGAGGGAAGATCCCGCATAGAAGGACCTGGATTCAGGGTACAGGGATGAGGGATGCAGTGGATCTGGAACTTTCGTGGCACAATGGAGATCACAGACGGTTGAAAGATGATGTTGGATGATTGGAGAGCTCGGATCCACGGCAAGTGTACAATTACAGTGAAGTGGACCTAAGCGACCTGGATCCGGATGAGTGTACCCATAATAGGGTGACCATAATGATTACGTCATGGATCCGGTGGATCTGAAGATAACACAGCTGGGATGATGGGTCAAGGGAAGAAGGGACATGCAGCCGAGCCTGGTAAGGGATTTAGCAGGTGAAAGACATAGAAGGTAGAAATCCAGGCAGGTATAGGCTTAAATATCAATACAGACTTCTATTTGCACGATAACACGCAAGTGCCTTCCTGCCCTCAAGAACCGGAGCTACATTGGCCGTACGAGCTCGGAGAAGGTTGGGAATTGCAAACCTAGTGTTGGTAGTGATAACTGGATAATACATTGGCCAGATCCGTGAGCTTTCCTATACACGTGCAGATCCAACAGGTTAACCGAATTACTACTTGGTCGGTTACACCCTAGAATATCTCAACTCTCAAGATCCCGTCACAGGAGGCGGCAAGTACGACGCAAAGGGAACGCAAAGGCAAGGGAACACACCCGCAAGGCAACACTACGGCCAGATCCACGATCTAGGCCCCGGATCCATAAGCTCGAATATTCGCTTAGGATACGGAACCATCCACGGACGCAGAGTGAAGATTTTCCACTGCTGCTCCACCCCATCCCCACGTCTCGCCAAGACACTCAAGCTTCACCACTTGAGCTCTTCGGAAGTTACCGAGAGAGCAGATCCCGCCCTACCGACGGGTACACAAGGTGAGGAAAGTTCAGCAGAACACGGATCATCGGGGGACCCCCTCCGTTAGTCGGTGTCTGGGCGCAGTTGGTAAGTTGGATCCAGCAATCTCGCAGATTTTGCTGATCCCGCTACACCACAATGGTGCGCGTGCCCGGATCTTTTGGTGACTCGGGATTTAACCGTGAGTCCCAAGAAGATGCTCAAGTGAAGATTGAGCCAGAAGAAGAGGCGTCGTCGGAGGTCGGATCGACGAAGACGCTGCTGAATGAAACAAGATCCGCGGATCGATGGAGTCCTGGGAGGAACTATGTCGACGGAAGAGAGGTGGATCCGGATCTAGAAGAGAAACCTCTCTATCCTCCCCAGGTCCCCTCGGGGACCCCTGCGGATCTTGACGCAAGTCAAGATCCGCTAACAAAACAAGGAAAAGTGAAGGCGAAACGGTATGCATTTGCAGATTCACCGGTTAAGCCAACACTGTACCTAAACCCAACCCCGCTAGTCGAAGAAACGAGAAAGAAGACGAAAACGAGTAAGACTACGCGGAAGAAGATGCAAGCTCCAGAGTCGGAAGAAGGCCAAGCTGGATCCAGGTCAAGCTGGTCCGACAAGGATCTCGAGTTTGTGTATCGCCACCAAGCTTTACGCGACTTCCTGCATCAAGATCCTGTCATGCAGATCCTGAATCCACGACAGATCGAAGATCCAAGGGAATCAGTGAGAGCACCAACGAAAACGGCGAACAAGTTGGTGGCAGTCAAAGATCTATTACGTTTGCTTACAGAGTCAGGCATCGTGGCTGGTGTGTTCGACGCAGAGGATATCTTCGAGCTAGACCTGGATCTCATAGTATCCGCGACGCGGGACCTCTTTGCCAAAGTTAAGTCCATCACCGGAGAAAGGTCGCGCACTATGGATCCGGTGTCGTCGCCGAGGATCAGCCAAGCTGCGTCCTCGAACTACGAATCCGCCGCTGAGGATGAGTCAGACACGTCGTCCGAACCACGACGCATGACTTTAGGACCCTCCGGGGCATCCATGCTGGAAGCGCGGGCGAGGATCCGAGGCCAGGAAGCCCCTGTGAACGTGAAGGCTCGGGATCCAGTACGCCCTACGCGTGATCTGACACAATCCATCCAGGATCGAGCCAGATCCGGCAAGAAGCCAGTGGGATTATCGTCAGATCGGGCTCAAGGTGATCGCCTCACGGATCCGGTCTCGCCAGTGGACCAGATGGCCACAGGCTCTTCCGACACTTCCTCGGGCACCCTGCAGCGACACTTCGAAGCTGCGATGAGTCGTTTCCTGGCCGAACAAGGTATGAGAGCGCCCGTGCTACAAGTGCAAGTGCTCCACGAACATGGAGCACGAGACGTGGAGATGAAGTCCGTGGAGAGAGACAACTCCCATGATG